CAGAACTGCAGTCAGCTGAAGTAGCCTGCAGTGCTGCATTTAACCACTGCGCCACCTCGGCTCTATAACAGAAATTTCCTGACAGTTAGAACAATTAATCAGTGGAACAGCTTGCCTCCAGAAGTTGTGAATGCCCCAGCACTGCAAGTCTTTAAGAAGATGTTGGATAGCCATTGTCTGAAATGGTATAAGGTTTCCTGCCTAGGCAGAGGGTTGGGCTAGAAGACCTCCAAGGTCCCTTCTAACTCTCCTATTGTTTTGTAATGTATTGTATTGTATTACTATTGTATCTCGGATAGAGCTAACTAAGTTTGCAGCTGTACAAGTTGCAATTTATCTTGCTCTGCTATAAATGTTTTCCCCCACATATCAAATACCTTCAGTAATACCTTTTTCACTTTTGGCTGGTGCTAATTAAATGTATAATATTTTGTCAAACTTAAATTTATCAGCTTAATTCTGCCTGCCAATTCCAAAAATTTAAATTTGTCTTAGAATTTATGTGGAAGGAAATTTTGCAGAAAAAAGCTGTTCCAATGATGCCTCTCTGCTTACCTACATTATTTAACAAATAGAATCTCTAAGAAGATATTTGGGTTACATTAAAACTTAGTTATGAGGGCCACAGGTCATGTGATGATTTCGATTTTTTCCCTTTTCTCTTTTTCATAAAAATATGTTTTGTTTTAGCAAAATTGTATCTTGAAGGATAATGGGGAGTAAGCACTGAAGCTGTAATACAGGCTCCATCAGTAATAAGCCATTATGTTAATGGAAGGGCGAAAGAGACGTACATTCATAGGGCCACTCATGAGAGGAATTCATAAGTGAATGGATCTTTAGCAATGGCTTCATTTTCTAGGGCATAATTCACTTTTCATGGCATAGACTTAAGGAATATAATAGGAGATGACTGCAAAATGCGTGAATGGTATGGGCAGGAAGCTGTGAAGGCAAACAAAATTCTGGAATGCATCATTAGAGGGGTCATCAGCAGGAAAAAGGACCCTAATCCCTCTATATAGGGTTTAGCCAAACCTGTTTGGAATATTGTGTTCAATTCTGGAGAACTCACTTAAAAAAGATACTGATAAGGAGTCCAGAGATGGGCAACAAAAATAGTGCAAGGTTTGAGGGACAGAACATATCAGGAGAGACTAGAAGAACTGAATATGTACAGCCTGGTAAACAGAAGGGAAATATATTTAAAGGTTTCATGATTGAAACCTTTAAATATATTAAGGGTGTAAAAAAGGTTCTAGAATGCAGTATGTTCAACATGAAGCAAAAATCAAGAATACAGAGGCATAACCTCAAACTGACAAAAGTAATGTTGGAAGGTATTACTTCAAAGAAAGAGTAGTGGAAGCTTGGAACCAAGTTCCAGTGGAGGAAGTGGGTCAGTCCCCAGAAACAGAGTTTAAACATGCTTAACCTGTTTGAGATAAATACGTGTCCATTATCTAACAAAAAATTAAAATTAAATAAAAATAATAATTAAAAATAATAGATATATTAAAAAGAAAACAAAAAAGCAAATAAACTCAAAGACTTCATGAACCACTAAGTCTTTTTCTGTCATCAGTTTTCTATGTTTCTATTTAAAATAATAGAAAAACGAACAGGGATAAGAATGCGTTTCTGGGTTTATTTAGTAGCAACGATGGTACTGAATAAGTTAAATGTCTTCACTATCATTGCATCAGTTCACTGCTTCAGTGCTAACTTCCCATCATTATAGGTTCCAAGTTAAACTCAAGATGAAGAAAGTCAGTCAATTTCCATGAAAGCTTTTGATTGTGTCAATAATGTCAAGCTGTGAAATGTGCTTAGAAAAATGGGAATTTCAAAATATCTCATTGTCCTTACAATTAACTTAAACTTAAAAGCTCAGGAACTTACAGTACAGGCAGAATATAGTGAAACTGACTCCAGGTTGCCAAATGAGTGTAATAAATAAAAATGAGGGTATTAACCCTGCCCTTATTTTTTTTCAATCTGTATGCTGAATATACATAGTCCTCTAATAGCTGAGAAACTCATGTGCTTGCAATAGTAAGAAGTACTTTTTACTGGTAGAAGCTGGTAGGTCAGCTACAGTGCATTCAGAAAGTATTCAGAACCCCTTCACTTTTGTCAATTTTATTGTGCTGCAGCCTGATTCTATAGTTATTGACATTCATTTTTTGTCATTAATCTACATTCAGTACCACATAAGCACAAAGTGAAAACAGAATTTTAGAAATGTTTATAAATGTATTAAAAAGAAAAAACTGAAATTTCACATTGACAGAAGTATTCAGACCTTTGGCAACAGCACGAGAAATTTAGCTCTGGTGCCTCCCATTTCTCTTGATTGTTGATGTCATGTTTCTACACTTTGAATGGAGTTGATCTGTGGTAATTAAATTGATTGCACATGATTTGGAAAGGCACACACCTCTCTTTAGAAGGTGTCACAGTTGACAGTGCATACTATAGCAAATTAAAAGCTACAAGGTCAAATGAACTACTTGCAGAGCTCAGAGACAGGATTGTTGCAAGGCACAGATCTGGGGAAAACTACAATAAAATTTCTACTACACTGAAACTTTCTAAGAACACAGTGGCTTCCATAGTTCTCAAATGGAAGAAGTTTGGCACAACCAGAACTCTTCCAAGAGCTGGTTGCCCGGTCAAACGGAGCAATTGGGAGAGAAGGGCAAGAGAGTTTACCAAGACCCTGATGGCCATTCTGCCTGAGCTCCAGAGATCCTGTGTGGAAATGGGACAGAGTTTCAGAAGGATAACCATCATTGCAGCCTTCCACTGATCTGGGCTTTATAATAAGAGTGGCTAGATGAAAGCCTCTCCTTAGTGCAAAACACATGAAAGCCCACTTAGAGTTTGTTCTTCACATTCTGAGAGTCGTTCAGGTCTTTTTTGCAAACCCAATCTGGTTTATCTTACCATAGTGAACACTTTACTCCAGGGATGTCAAACTGAAGACTCAAGGGCCACATGTGGCCCGCAGGTTGCTTAGATCTGGCCCACATGGCCACTCTGGAAACAGCAAAGAACTTCTCCCCAGTGTCTCTGCCAGTGAAAATGGCACTCGGGAGGGCTGTATGCTTTTTTTTTTGGCAGAGGGTTGCAGAAGGCTGTTGCAGCAAAAACGGAGCTCAAAAGCCCGTTTTCACTGGCAGAGCGCTCATGCCACCACAGGCGCCCCTGACACAAGTGACAGTGAGCTGACCATGCTCACCCCCACCCCAAGGTCAAACACATCCTTGATGCGGCACTCAATGAAATCAAGTTTGACACCCCTGCATTACTCCGTTCATTAAGAAATATATATCTTGTCCTTCATTTTCTTTTAGTAATACTATTCTGGAATGGGCTTCCTGGCGTTGTGACTACTTTATGAATGTGTCCCTTTAGAGTTGTCTTGCTACCTGTTAGAATCCTTTCCCTACATTATTACATTTAAAATAATAATGATTTCAAATGTGAGAAGTTGGAATTTTTCAAAGCAGTGTCCCAGCATCTGGCAATTTTTAAAAATTTCCCAGTATTGCTCTGAGTCCCAAATAGGTTTTATAAGCTTTCTTGGAAAATAATAATAGTGGGCTGCTAAGAGTCTAGTGCTTTGTTTAGAAGCATGGCCATCTGCTGTCAATAAAGACAAAACTAAGCAGAATTTTTAGAAGACATCTGGAACAGAGAGGGTCCAGTCCAGGTGACAAATAATCTTTCAGTTAAATGGTGTTGTGTAATTGGTGATTTGGAATCCAAGCCCTTCTTAGCAACTGTTTTTCAAAAGCACCCAGAAAACCTCCAGCAGGTGCTCAAAATATGAAATATGTTACCAGCGTCAAAAAGGAAGGGATTCCTACTCTGGAATAATCTTTATCTCATTTTGCTTCTAGAATCCATTGGTAAAATGGCTCCAGGTGGATTCCGTTCATCCCAAGCAACAGTTACTTAGTATGGCCACAGGTGACGGACCTCATCAACATTTTAGAAAACATGGAAAAGTGATTCAAGACAGACTGAAAGGAGCTGCAAAAAAGATCTGCTGCCTGAGCAAAGAGAAACAACAGCTACTAGAGATGGTAAATAGACTAAGAACGGAACTTGGAGAAGCTTCAAAGGAAGGTAAGCTCATTGGAGAGAAGAATCTCAATACTTGCGTAAGAAATTCAGTCTCTTGAGATTGAAAAAACTAATGGAGTGAAGTACTGCATGTAGGCTTGTTGCCAAGATCAAGAGGTCCTGGTCAGAGCTTGAGAATGAAATGCAGCTGAATAAGAGCACAGTTGCTCTCAACATTGAACATGATGGTATGAAACATGAACAGACTCAGTATTTGTTTCTTATTCTTGGCTATGAAAACCTTGATTACTGCTCTAAAAGGTCAAGGTAGCAACTACTTGTTACATAATAGCAAAAAGCTCTTTTATATACTTCTCATGTATATAAGAAGATTTTTGAAATAAATACTTTTTTGTTTTGTTTCCTGGAGATGAAGAACAATAAAAAATGGCATTATTGTATAACTAACCTGAGGTCAAAATAAAATTTAACTTTAAAGCTAAAGCACTGGGGATCATCTTTCAATTTCTATATAGCATAAAAGGTTCATTTTTATTTTGTCATCTCTGTAGGATTTCAGGATTGCAATGACTCAAAAAACCCTCAAAATGAGACATTCCCTAGTGCCCTTTATCCCAAAGAACTTGTACAAGAAGCAAAGCAGCATTTTCTAGCTTTAGAACATTTGCAGTGCCATCTTACAAAACAGGTAATATGTCCTCTTCCAGACAATATCTCAGAACCTCATCCTACTATTTTATATCAAGGACAAGATGTGTAGGCAAATTAACATTAAATTGCATTAAAACTTTTATTAATTCATTGTAATGTTATCCTAATTTCAATGTGCTGATCCATTTTTGATGCCCTTTCCAATTGGAACTGATAGCAAGCAATTTCCTAACCATATGATATTTTCCCCTCAACTATTGTCACTTATGGCAAAAAAAATTATATCAATTACATGGAAAGTGCAACACGAGTGCTGACTAGATATGGACTCTGATTTGTACACACAACTCCTACCCAATACAAAATGAGCCAACTTGGAAAGTTATTTAATTATCTAAGGTGGCAAACTGCCTTATCCCTGATTCAGGTTTTTCTACAGAGATCTCTTTAGTTCAGAAGCACAGTACATTGATGTTGACATGTACCAAAGAGAGAATAGCCATTTTAAAAACTTATAATCAGTGGTGAAATTCAAAATTTTTACTACCGGTTGTGTGGGCGTGGCTTGGTGGGCATGGTAGGGGCAGGATACTGCAAAATCTCCATTCCTACCCCACTCCAGGGGAAGGATATTACAAAATCTCCATTCCCATCCCACTCTGGGGCCAGTCAGAGGTGGTATTTGCCAGTTCTCCGAACTACTCAAAATTTCTGCTACCGGTTCTCCAGAATCTCCCAGAACCTGCTTATAATGCTTCCTCAAGTAATACATTTTGATGGAGGGAGGAGGGAAAGGGAGCATTTTATTTAGGGATTAACAGATCTGCCTCAAATCAGAATGTGATTTATTACCGATGTTACAGTAATTGGACAAATTTGAGACCAGAGAGACAGTTATATGTACATATTCATTGTCATTAAATTACACCTGATTGCCAATCAACTGATTCTCATTTTTAGAGGCTCCATATGTGATGGTGCTCTCTTTTTTCCTTCTTTTTCTTTTTTGCAAACAGTCAATTATTTTTTTAAATTCATCCTCACTTCCATCCTCATATATATA